GGTTCTTGCATTTAGGAGGCAATTTTTTTTGCAAAACTGCTGAGACATTTTCTCCCATATGCACTTTCTCATTTCCTTTCAACTTTTTCTTACCAGTGCATAACTCCTTCAAAAATTTAGCATATCTAGGAATTTGCTTAATTGCATCTAAAAGAGGGATATTTACCTCAACTTTTCGAAAAGTGTCCAAAATCTCCTGTTCTTGCTCTTGCTTTTTGGACTTTGCCAGTCGACTAGGAAATGGAGGCGGAGGTGTAACCACTTGTGTTGATTTTTCTCCAAAATCTGGTTGTTCCAAGGCCCTAGGTTGAGACACATTCCCCTCTTTTTTGAGCTCTTCCTCGATTGCTTGTTCAGAAATTCTCTTGCTCGGCTCAGGCAACTCTTTGCCATTTCTTAATGTGATGGCACTGGCATTTTGCTTGGGATTGACAATTGTCTGCGAGGGTAGCTTTCCAGATAATTAGGACTCCAATCTATTGACTGTGGAAGCTAACTGGCTCATTTGATTCTCCAAATTATGAATGCTAGTTTTCGTCTCCTGTCGAAATTGTTGAGTGTTAGTAGCCAAAGATTTCACAATATCCTCAAGTGACATACCTGATTTAGGAGCAGATTGTTGTTGTGAAAGTTGAGGTCTAGGTTGATATTGTGGCTGTTGTGGAAATCCTGGTGGCCTTGCTGCATAACTAAAATTAGGATGATCCCTCCATCCTGGATTATAGGTGTTTGCATAGGGATCATATCGCCTCCGAGGTGGTCCTAGAAATCCAACTACATTAGCCTGCTCAGTCGAATCATCTTGGAGTGTAGGGCACATATCTGTTGGATGACTCGAACCATAGCAGATTCCACATGTTTTCAATTGCTGCATTTGTCCTATAGCTAACTTTTCAACCAAAGAAGTTAGACAATCTAATCTTTGCTCTATTTAAGAATTACTTACCTCATTGACTCTACGAGTTGTGTTATCCTGCCTGTCTCCAAATTGTTGAGCATTTGCAGCCATACTCGATATCAAACTTCTTGCCTCCGTGGGTGTTTTATTCACTAAGAAGCCCCCACTGGCAACATCAATAATTCTTCTGTCAGTTTGGGACAGACCCTCATAAAAATACTGGATGAGGAGTTGGTTAGGAATTTGATGATGAGGACAACTAGTACATAGTTGCTTGAATCTTTCCCAATATTCATGTAGTGTCTCTCCATTGAATTGTCGAATTCTACAGATGTCTTTCCTAATGCTTGCAGCTCGGGATACAGAAAAGAATTTTTCTAGGAAATGCTTTTTCATTTCTGTCCATGTGGATATTGACCCAGAGGGCAGATAATAGAGCCAATCCTTAACTTTATCGGCTAAGGAAAATGGAAAGGCTCTTAATTTAATTTGCTCCTCTGTGACTCCCTGGGGTTTCATTGTCGAGCAAACCACATGGAATTCTTTGAGATGCTTGTGGGGATCTTCACCTGGTAAGCCATGAAAAGAAGGAAGTAAATGAAATAGTCCAGATTTTAACTCAAATGCAACCTCTAATGTAGGATAAGTAATGCATAGAGGCTGTTGATTTAAATCTGGTGCAGCCAATTCTCTCAATGTCCGTTCATTAGCCATGGTGCTATTTATCTCTTCCGTCTCACTAAATGAATCCACAAAATCTTCTACTGAATTATGTCCAGTAGATGAGGAGGATGCCTCTGCTCGTTCTCTTGTTGCTTTTCTCAATACACGAGCAGTCTTCTCTATCTCATGATTATATTGCAGTTCACCTGTACGAGAAGATCTAGGCATAAACCAGTAACAATAAAAATAAAAATAAAAAATAAACAAAGAAAATAAAATTCAAAGAAAATAAATTTATTTTGACACCAAGTCCCCGGCAACGGTGCCAAAATTTGGTGGGTGTCAAACCAGCAAAAATAAAATTCCTACTCTTAAGTCATGAATTAAGTCCACTATGGTACTGGAGCAGGGTTTGAATACTAGCTTGATCCGATATATCAAAGTATCTTAATTACGTGAAAGATAAAATTCGAATATAGCAGTGAGCAGGGTCGAATCCACAGGGACTTGGGAATGTATTTTGAATGAATGTAACATTAAATAAAAATGGGAGGGGATTGACATGGAACTGTCAATTTAATTGCTCAAATTAAAAATAAGACAATTGCAGATAAAATAAATAACAATAAATATAAAGTAAATTAACGGAAGGAAAATCTCTAGTCAAAGGTGTAATCTCCACTAATGGTTCGAATCACTGATCACAGATGCAGAGATAAAATCTTTCATTTACAAATAAACTGGTTATGGTTGTCAACAAACTCTGACAACCTGCCTAACCTTTCTGATTCGATAACCACAACAAGCTCTGTGGTTATTTCCCTAGCCAATTAAGCAGTCCTAAACACGCTCTTAGGATTTAACCTATTGACAGCATTAATCATTAGACTGGCCACCAATTATAACCAACAAACACACACGCTCAGTTTATTTAGGCTATATCATATATTTCCGCAACAATAACTCAAAAGTTTCTACTACAATTGAATCATGTCACCTGCCACGTGCACTAAAATTACCCAACAATTGAACTTCAACTCTTGAAGTTCCAACCTTCGGGCAACAGATAGCGGCATAAGGGACACACTTGCACCTAAATCACACATTAGAAAAATGTAACTGACCATTAGTGCAAGATACAGAAAAGCTTCTAGGATCTTTCAATTTATGAGGGAGTTTGTTCGTAATCAATGCACTACATTCTTTCGTTAACGTTATCATTTCATTATTCATAATTTTTCTCTTCTTTGACATGATATCTTTCAAGAAACGAGCATAAGAAGAAATCTGTGTAATAACATCAATGAAAAGAATATTAATGTGTAATTGTTTAAAAATTTTGAAAAACTTGTCAAACTCCCGATCCTTTCCATTTTTCTTCAACCTGTGAGGAAAAGGAATCGCATTAGAATTTAAATTAGGAGGAGGTACATGAATATCAATGACAACATGATCATTTTGGCTTTCTCTCTTTCCTTCAATTGCGTGCTCCTTATCTTTTTCACTACTTGAATTGCCAAAGTTAGGTCCCTCAACCACTTTACCACTTTTAAGAGTGATAGCATTAACATGCTCTCTCGAGTTGACTTCAGTTTTATTCAACAATTCTCCAGGGTTTCTGTTGTTGATTGAATTGACAATTTAACCAATTTGAATATTCATATTTCTATACATTCCAGTTAATTGTTCCAACCGCCCCTCAATTCATTCAAATCTCTCCGAAGTACCCTTCGCTAACTTCTCTACCGCTATCTCCCAATCCGGTTTAATATTCGCCTGAGGTTGCCTTGACTGGAATACAGGCGGATTGGTCAGCCTTTGAGAGTTGCCTTGCTCTTTTCACCCAAATTTTGGATGATTTCTCCAACTCGGATTGTATGTATTTGAGTATAGGTTGTTTTGAACATTCCTACTATAATTATTGACAAATTAAGCCTGTTCAAGATCAACACACTATTATTATCATGTTCTCCTCCACATAAAGAACAAATAGTAACCTGTACATTAGAAGAAGAACTTGGATCATATCCAGTTTGTTTATTTAACACCTTCATCATATTACTCATTTGAGCACTAAGCATGTTTATGGTATCCATTTTAATCATACTTGCTTGGTGTCTTGGATTACCTCTTTCATTGGCCCATTGATAATTATTGACTGCCATTTCTTTAATTAAACTTTGAGTTTTTTGGGGTGATTTTGCCATCAAGACTCCACCTGTAGATGCATCAATGGTCATTTTAGTAGAAAAGGATAAATCATTATAGAAGTTTTGTACGATTAGCGAATCGGGAAGTCCATGGTATGGATATTTCTGAAACAAATCTCTAAAACTTTCCCATACTTCATATAATAATTCACCATCCAATTGACTAAAATTAGTAATATCCATTTTAAACTTAGCCGTTTTGCCCGGTAAAAAATACTTATTCAAAAATGTTCTAGACAAATTATCCCAAGTGGTGAAAGTATTAGGGGGCATGAGAATGTAGTCAAATTTTAGTCTTATCCCTTAATGAAAATGGAAACAATCTTAGCCTTATTACATCCTCACTAACTTCATTCATTTTAATAGTGTCGCAAATCTCCAAAAATGTGGCTAAATATGCGTTAGGATCCTCTACGACATTATCTCCAAATTGAGATTGTTGCACCATTTGGATTAATGATGGTTTAATTTCAAAATTTTTAGCATTTACAGTCGGCCATGCTACACTTGTTTGAGATCCTTGGGTTTCTGGTAGAGCAAAATTCATAAGAGCTCGCCTATTTGCTTCGTTTTCTATCATTTCTTCTTCAAAAGGTAGCTCTATCATGATTCCCTCTATTTGTTGTCTAACCTCTTCTTCTTCTTCTTGTGGTGTATGCCATCTTTGTCTATATAGTGTCCTTTCAATTTCCAGATCAAAAGGTGCGACTACCCAGAAAACCCGGTACATATACTACAAAAAAAATAAAAGAAATTATGTAGTAATCACTACAAGAAATTTGGCCTTTTGTGACAATAGAAAGTCATCACTAAAAATTAGAAAGTCGTCATTATATGAGTACAGTGACGACTTTTTCTATTGTCACCTCGTTGTCACTAATTCTATGTCACAAATGGGTATGTGTGACAACCTCTACAAAGTCGTCACTAAATATTATTATTTAATGACGAAGACTAAGTCATCACTAAAGAATAGTATTCTATGACGAAGTTTCTTGTCACTGTTTCCAAAATTTTTTTGTCATAAAAGATAGCAGAAATCGTCACAAATTTGAACACGCACAGTGACGACTTGAACTTGTCACTCTCACTTCTAGTATTTAGTGACAAGAATAATCGTCACTTAGTGAACTTACAACTTTGTCTACTAGAGCTGCAATTCTATTGCATTTTCAACAACCATAGCAGAAAATTGTGGCTCGACTAATGCAAAAAACGATAGTAATTAATGTACAATGAACCCTCAAATATATATATATGGTTATAAACATCTCTAAATTCATCACAACACACATTAACCAAAATGGGTTCCAAAGCCCACGTTAGTTCAAATACTAACAGCCATTATCCATCCAAACAATAGAGTACTAAATTCACATCAATTCCACTAGTAACAGCCATTACACATCCAAAAAAACAAAGTACTCTTTCCAAACAAAAACATAGACTAAAGCAACAATTTGTGTCAAACTGAAGTCATCTTCATGAGCATATCCAAAAGCCAACCTTTTTCATCTCCTCAAGAGCATTTAATAGCATTGTACTGCATTGAAAGAAAAGTATCATATGCATTAGAATCGATTTCAGTCAAAAAATATGCCATTACAAGCATACACTATTGAATTCGAATGAATAGTCATACTGAACAAAAATCCAATTAAGTCAATATGATAAGCTCCCACCAACATCACGTACAATGTCACACCACAGGACCATACATCCGCAATCTAGAAATTAAATAGACAGCAATTACAAAATGAATGAAGAAAAAGCGAGCCTGCGTTTTAACAATAAGAAAGTCCCAGAAGTATCTCTCTATAAAATCAATGCCAAAAGAAAATGAGATCAAGGCAAACAAAATATATTTTGCATGTGTTTACACCTCATCTTCATTGAATCCACCAGCACTATAAATTTTTGCAAAGAGCTCTCCGCCAGCAGCATATTCCATCACAATAGCTAAATGTGTCGGAGTTAGCACGACCTGCAGACAAAAGTATGCTTCAAAACATGGCTCCATGATTTTTATCACAGACATCTCCCACTAAGGAAGTTGAAAGTACAAACAATAGTTTCTCATCCTGATTCATAATCTAGTTCCATTTTCTATCTTGTCAGCTCTCATCTATGACCTCGAAGACAGCACACTTTTCTATTTAATTGAAGCCGAAAACAGGGCCCATTCCATTCCCTCTAGAAAAAGTGTAATATGAGTGCCAAAGTCTTGAACTACCGATTAGCAACCAACTTCGGCCGAATAAAAATGGTACTCTTTTATGCTACTACTGCCATTGTCAAACTAAAAAATGTTAGAAAATAGTAGACATCATTGCAAAGTAGAGAGTTTCTGCAGCAAAATTAATCAAGTGCAAGAACATTCAACCATTGATTACTTAGACTATCTGAAAGAAAAAAAGAAAATACCCTTACAACCTCAAATGTTTGACAAATCCAGTTAGTAAATTTTCACATCATTTGCTGCAATTAAAACTATGTACAATTAAAACTAGGCACTGCTTTAATAATATTATAACTATTTAATGCATCGAGTTAGTCTAAAAATGTCCAACATTATTTGGAAATGCACTTTGGCTGTAGACAAAATCTGACTCCTTTAGGCATTAAAGCAGTAGACAATAGTTTAGGCACTAAAGATGTTTACCAGTGCTATGTAAAGGTAAACAATATCATTTTAGTTGAATAAAGACTCCAAAACTAAAGAGGCTACATTTTCATGCAATAGTTGAGATGGATAACCAGCTTGGATTGCCAAAAATGTTAAGAACCAAATGATACTTGAGTCTTTAATCATCCTCAGAAACAAATCACCAGGAAGGAGATGCAAAATGTGTTACACCAGAATTTACCTTTTACCAGATTTGACAGACCATTTTCCTTCAAACTTCTTGAAATCACCATCAACCATGGAAAACTGGAGTTCACGGTCATTTGCCTAAATAAATTTCATTTGCAAATAGTTAACTGAGATAAAGTTATCACATAAGAATGCCTAGTTACTGCTACCTACTCTATCAGAATGAAAATGCAGTTTAACATCTCACATTATATTACTTGCAATAACTGCTTTGTTGTCTTTGCCTTTTGTAATCTCACAAAGGTTTAACAAATCACGTATCACCATCACAAGAAATCTGTTTTCCTGCCACAGTTGATGCAAAAAAATAAAAGTAAGAAAATGGTGAAAAAGAAAAAGAACCACAAAACTGAAAGTTATCCAAACACAAGGTCTCATTCTGAGTAGAAAGAAGCCAGAAAATAGTCACTCAGCGAAGAAAGACTAAAAAATAGGAAAAATATACAGCATAAAGCAATACACTTGTTCCTCCATCATTGATCCTAATATAGATCCTATTGCCCAGCACAAGGTATTTAGGTTGTTCCACATCCAATCCTCACCATTCAGCTGTTTACTTAACTTCCTCAGCATCTGTTAACAAGATTCATCATACATGTCAACACCTTTTTAAAAAAAATTTTACATGTCAACTCCTTGAACAAATATAGAAGAAAATCATAATAACTATAGCAGTTTCGACAAGGAAAGATTTGAGCCCCATCATTCATTTATAACCAAGGTTGCCATAGACTTCTAGTTCAGCTTGTCTCAACTATGGATATTGGGTGGTTCTTTTAGTGAAGATCTTAACAGCATTGAAGTGATGATCTTAATACATTCAAGTAAGTAAACCAAAGAAAGCAGAACATTCATTAGTCCATGCCAAAAATACCATTCCTATAATTGCATTAACATGACTACAAGCAACTCGATCACCAGGGCAAATTATAATCTAAGTACACAAGAGAAAGCATATTAGTAGAAAACTTATCTGATTATTCTCATAATCAGATTGAAGAATTCAAAAAATCACATCTGATATCTAGAAATCAACCACTCAATATTTATAGATTAGCGCTTCAATATACAAATGCAAGGAATTCATAGAGAATCTAGGATGCCAAGAACGAGCAAATTATCTCCGCCTTATGACAAGAATAAAAAATTCTTACTTTGCAATCTCCTGCTTATCCTTTTTTTTTTATCAGTAACAAGAAGCACCAGCGTATAATCCATTAAACCCAGAAAAAATGTGCTACCACATGTTTTTAAGAAATTCCTTAGATTGATTTGAAGACCTAGAGCAACCAAAACTATAGATAAGTCTCAATCAACTACGTATCTCAACATGCATAACTTTCAACTGCAACATCTGAGAGCCTAAATTGCAAATAACATAATTCAGCTCTCAAGAAGGGTCTTATCACTCACTCAAGTTCTGAGCTTTATGCCAATTCGCACCACCAATTGCTAATAAAAACCTAAAACGGATTTTGTCAAACAGTCCTTGAGTTCTCAGCTTTCTGGCAACCCAAATCATCAATTCGTGGGTGGGATGGGGGAAACAAGAGGGATTAGCTACAACTTCGAGAAGACAAAAAGTTTTCGTCCAAAATAGCCAAATTTGAAGGATTTCGAATAGCAATAAACGGGTTAAAGAGATCCAAAAATAAATAAATAAGAGATAAGTAATCCAACTTCAAGTGCTGATATACGTGTAACAGATGTAAATGAATCTGAGGATAGCAAATTCTTGCAGAATTACAAAGAAAGAAGGATACAAACCAAGTCGACGTCTAGCCAAAATATTCGCGCAGGGGAAAAAAAAAATCCCTGGCCCAGGTAAAAAGTGGGTGAGAATTAGATCTCTGCAGTGAAACTTAACGGGGGCGGCCTTCCCTTGTAGAAGAAACGTACACCAGCTGCAAAGAAAGATCCAACAGGATGAAACAAAAAAATTGTTCCCAAAAAAAGAAAAAGAAAAGCTTAAAATGGTACAAGTAAACGGCTGTGCTCAAACGGCCAGGTTAAGGGAGATGAAAAAGGAAAAGCAAAAAAAAAAAAATTGATTGAATGAGAAGGATTCTATCTCAGATAGGATTTGCGGTTTGCTGTGCGTTCTCTTCATCTTCTTTCTCTTTTATGTTTGTTTTTTTTCAATTTTTTTTTTTTTGCAGTCAACGGGAAATATTACTACTAATATAACATGGGAGCAATATAAATAATATAATACTGGTTTACTACTTCCCATTTTTTCAATCTGGCTCTCACCACCAAACTCATCAGAAGGTCCACGGGACCAGCACGATACCCCTCCCTGTCACCAAATCTGGGCCTATCCCCATCAAACCTTGGTGGTCCGCGAGGGCGGTCACCAGGAGGTCCACCCATAGGACGACCGAGGGGCTTGACGGACTTCTTAAGAGTAGCAGGAACAATTTCAGAGGGAAGATTGAGGTAAGTCCTCAGGAACTCGATGCCGTCGTTCGTAAGATACCAGTAGTAACACTAGGCGGCCTCCGGTGACCCGATTGTGCAGCAGCTCCTCCTCCTGATTAGGGATTTTTGCTGCACCGATCTAGGGATTTTTGCTATCCGCAACTCCACAAAATCTACACAAATCTTTTGGGTAGCTCAAATTAGGGATGAAAATGGTGGCTCAAAGTGATTTTTTGGATAATTTCAGTAAGATGGCAGTGGAGAGAAGAAGAAGATGATAGTGTCCAAAACTGGCAAGAAGAGGGAAAGAAAATTTTGTCTGAAATTTTTGCTAAGTGTCGTGGGTGTTTTTATCAAACAACAAAGCCAAAACTATGTCGTTTCTGCTTCTTTTGTTCACCCTCATGTACTTCTTCAATTTTCAGCTTCCCGCTTCCATTTTAGCTAAGACCAAAAAATAACACTTTCATCCTCTTTTGTACGACTAATTGATCAAATTATTGTTCGAAAAAAATTGCAACAATAAGGTTATTATTTTGAGCTTTTTTACTTCACAAGTTGTATTTGGAACTTTATTTGTTACATTAAAACTTTGAAAATTTAGTGTTTTTGGATAATTTTTGGAAAATTTAGTGTTTCTGGGATTAATTTAGTGTTTTTGGAATATTTAGTGTCTTATTATGTTTATGATTCAAAAAAATCTTTTAATGCAAATATTTTTGGTATTAATTTAATAATTTTATTAATTATGTACGAAATTGTGGTGTGACAAGGCCTAACAATCTGTTTAGTTGATCAATTAACCAAAATAGTTTGCTAATACATGCATGAAACACTAAATGTATTTAGTACAAATACCGATTTATAAACCATAAATAATGTGACTATTGTAATTAATAATAAACTCCAACCATGCTATTGTCAAGATTTTACTTAATTTCATGTTGAATTTTATTGTTCTTTGCCATTATTTTTACACTATGCTAGTCAATAATTTTTCATGTGTTGTCAAGACAATTAGATAGGGAATCCAGGATATTTTTTAACCTTAGCTAAGTTCAGTACAAGTTATTAACTAAGGTTGGAACAATTTTAAAAATATGTATATATATTTTATTACAATATCTTTTTCATTTTGCTAATGAAAAACATCAACTAAAGTGTAAAGGATAGGGCACCATAATAGAATTAACGAAATCGGCTTATCACATACGAGGCTAAATTGTAAAAGATAAGGTGTCATGATAGAGTTAATGGAATCAGTTTATTACATATGGGACTAAAATGTAAAATTTAGGGTGTCATAATAAGATTAATAAAATTTATTTATCACATATAAGCCACATTGAAAAAATTAGGGTGGCATAGTAGAAATAATGAAAGTGAGTTAGGAACAAGCACTTTAAAAATATGTTTATGATTCTAAAAAAGATATTTTAATGCAAATATTTTTTGTATCAATTTGATAATTTTATCAATTATGCACGATTTGTGGTCTGACAAGACCAAACCATCTGTTTAGTTGATCAAATAACCAAAATGGTTTATTAATACATGCATGAAACACTAAATCTATTTGATACATGTACTGATTCATAAACCATAAACAATTTGATTATTGTAAATTGTAATACATAACAAACTCCAGTCATGGAATTGTCAAGATTTTTACTTAATTTCATATTAAATTTTATTATTCTGTTCCATTATTTTCACACTATGTTAATCAGTAATTTTCCATATGTTGTCAAGAGAACTAAATAAAGAATTCATGATATTTTTTAACTTTATAACAAGGTATGAGCTATGTTTGGAATAATTGAAAAATAGGTAAACATTGTTTTTTACAATATATTCCTAATTTTGCTAATGATAAACACAACTTAAAGTCTAAAAGCATAGGGTGGCATAATAAAATTAATAAAAATTTTCTTTATCACATACGAGACTAAATTGCAAAAGATAAGGTATCATGGTAGAGTTAATGAGATTAGTTTACCAAATACGGGGCTAAAATGTAAAAGTTCGAGTGTCATAATATAATTAATTAAATTTACTTGCAGCGTATGGGCCATATAGAAAAAATTAAGGTGGTATATCGGGTTAAAATATAAAAGTTAGGGTGTCATAGTAGAATTAATAAAATTTGTTTACAACACATGGGTCATATTGAAAAAATTAAGGTGGTATATGGGGTCAAAATATAAAAGTTAGGGTGTCATAGTTGAATTAATAAAATTTATTTACAACACATGGGCCATATTCAAAAAATTAAAATGGTATATGGGGTTAAAATGTAAAAGTGAGGGTGTCATAGCAAAATTAATAAAATTTATTTACAACACATGGGCTATATTAAAAAAATTAAGGTGGTATATGGGGTCAAAATGTAAAAGTTAGGGTGCCATGGTAGAATTAATAAAACTTATTTACAACATATGGGCCATATTGAAAATATTAGGGTGACATAGTAGAATTAGCGAAAGTGGGATGGGAATAAATGATTTGGACAGTGACGACTAGTTGTTGTCATTAATTTAGAACTGACAACGATATTGTGACGATATTTTAAGTTGTCACTGTAGGACGAGTTTCAGTGACAACATGTTTTCTAGTTGTCACAACGGTGGTTTCCCGCCACACTGAATAGTTGCGCGCCATCCATATTGTGACGACTTATCTCGTGTTGTCACTGTTGACGGGTGAAACCACGATCAAGTATGACGATATTAAAAGTCGTCACTAAAGTTTTCAATAGTGACAACTTTCTCTCTTGTCACAGAGAATGTTGTCACAAAAGGCCAAATTTCTTGTAGTGAATTAATTCACAAAAACTAATAAAAGTTCTTACTTAACTAGAAACAAAGTTTAACTAACTAATATAGAGATGTCTAAATTAATCAAGCTTATTAGACCCTAATATTATTGCTCTCTGGCAACGGCACCAAAAACTTGATGAATTTTTTATATAAATACAAGTTTAATTCCGAATTACACCCGTTTTACTGCAAGCATATAAGTCCCGCTAGTAGTTTAGGGTATACCCCCTTACTTACTCTATTATTTAAACTAATAATCAACTTAAGAAAGAGAAGTTATAATTATTACTATCTAACTAATACTAACAAGATATTTGCAAGGTAATAATGGAGAAAATTCACTAAATACTTGAGTTTGGGGACATAGATTCCACTTATGGCATCAAAAATACAAATAAATAGATTTACCTCTTATTACAACTCTTATTTAACTAGGGATTCGTTTCCAATATTACGAAATCTCATTCTCATGATGAAATGTCCTAGATTAGACTAGTTTTCCCTATTCCCAGGGTGAATAAATAATTCTACTCTTGTTTACTTCATGAAATGTAAGTTTAATCTATTTAAGTGTATTTCTAATCTCATGAGTCTACAAATTAAGCTCTATTTATGTTATTCCATCATTATATCCAACTTTCATTAAATAATAATAACTATAAGGTTGTTATTAGTGATCAAGTAATAACAAGTGATAAGCATACACAAATAAACAAGTTAATACAAGATGTAATAAGTATAAATCACATTCATTTCATATCAAGTAGTCATAAGGTTCATCTACTCCCTAGATCTAGAAATTTAGCTACTCATATAAGATATAACAAGAAAGAACATGGTTTCATTGTATGAACACATATTGAATCACAAGTAAAAAATAGATAAAGAAAGTTTAGCCGAAATAATGAAGAAGTTTCTAATGATCCTCAATTTCTTCAACAAAATGAGTGTACAATCACTACAACAAAAATGGTCTTTAACGGCATTTAAAAGTGTTCGTATAGATAATTTAACCTGACACTTTATCTATCCTCACACCTAGGGCGAGTGTTGTCCCTTCCAATGTGGGGATAGACTCGTACTATTCAACATGTCAAGAAAACTATGCTGTTATAACATCCCATCTGCCAACAAAAATCCGTTTTCTTGATAATTGAAAGTGTCAGGATAGGTATAGTACAACATTAGAATATCGAATTCTATGCTGACACCTTTAATTGTCAGGATTTTTTTTTTTTTTGAGATAGAAGCAACCTACAAGTAATGCTCCCTGCTATACATTCCGTCAATCAAAAACCCAAAGGACTTTTAAAATTATCCCAAAGATCAAAATGCATATAAGATAATATGCTATGATGCAAAAATCTAGAAACATCAAACTTGAGCAGTACTGTGATTATGAGAACTGAAAATGCCAACTCCCATAAGCAAGAGGAGATTTGTCATCATGTTTCATACATCAAAAGCAGAATGCAAATGAGACTAAATGATATACAAGCCAACACACAGTGGAAATCTCAGAATAAATGCAAGCGCACTTTGTTTATAGCAATAACAATTCGCACTCTAGCTGCTTTGGCATGAGCAATGGCCTCTTCTGTTTGAGGTCGAATTCTATCATCAGTAGCAACTACAATAACAGCAATGTCTATTACTCTGGCTCCACGAGCTCTCATTGCTTGAAATGCCTATCCAACCATTTTTACAGTTATGTTAGATAATTCATCTTGACAAAGGCCTTTTAAGATATGTCTGCAAAATCTCCAAAACGAGCATTTGACATAAAAATTTTAAAAAAAGAAAAAAAAACTTGCATGAATAAGCAGTTAAAAGTTAGAACCAGTGCTATATCATTAATTACCTCATGTCCAGGGGTGTCAAGGAAAACAGAAGTCCGTGGCTTGCCATCAAAAGGTACTTGTACCTTGTATGCCCTCATCCTTGAGTAATTCCACCTGCTTCAGATGCTGCCACCTACAGTAGGTTGTCTAAGATTTAGTTCCCAGCTATTCAAGTATCATAACATAAGACAGAATAAGGTACTTCTTCTAAAGTCATCAAATCATAATGGCATTACAAATAATGTACCTCAATGTGAACATCAATAAAAATAATCAATTCATACATTGCTTTTCCTGATGTAATCCAAAAGTGTGGTCTGCCAACCCAAAAGAAAACCAGTAATATATTAGCTAAAGATTGTTATGGGACAATAAATCCAGAATGACTCTCCTAAAGATCAATTAACTGAAAGCACACAAAATGTTCATAGGCAACAATCAAATAACAAAGAAAGGTAAAATTATTTCATGGGATGAGATCATAATGACTTCAAAAAAGATCCATTTGCTATGGAAGACTAATCCAGCTGTAAGAAAAATAAGTGCATGCATCAAGGAGTACAACATTAATATTGATGATAACATATCATTTATAAGCAAAATACTGAAAATGAAACTTGGAATGACTATATCTAGACATCACTAAACAATTCCCAATTCTCTTGATAAGGGAAGACAAGCTAATAATGTACAGCTAGATTAGTAATAATTTAATAGAGAGCCAAAACTTAAGATGGGCACCTGAACTATGTCGTAGATTGGCGTGATGCCAGTCTAAAACTGAGTTGATCTCAGCTCTTTCGAACAGGTCTGCTGGGTACCTTTTTGGTATGAAAAAGCACTAGTGATCAAAAGTGGTACGATCGAGTATCAGTTGTTGGTTTGATACCTTAGAAGCCAATAGGCATCATAGTAAGACTTACATTTAGCAAGTGGCAATGTAACCATTTTCTGGTCCTCATGTGTTGCAGCCTGATGATGGTACCACCTTTGATTGTATCCCCTTGTTGAGCATTGGTATCTGGTACGGGTCTAACAATCTGCAAGCCAAGTTTAATCATACCTAAACTTAGAAAATTATGATGATCTAGAAAAAATAGATACTAGAAAAAGAAACATACCCAATAGCTGTTTGAGTCATCAACATTGAGAAAACCAGTGACGGATTGCTGCCCACTACCAGAGCCATATGGTACATCATGCGAATGCAGCCTAAACTTTGTTCTCTCATGCATCAACTTGATCACTGACCCATAAGTAATCTACCAAAATCACAGATGCCGAACAAAATAAGAATGACCTAGCACAAAGCCCCATTATACAACTATTAGAACTCAAAGCATCATACACCATTTTTTTATTTTCGCCACACAACAGAAACCTCAAACTATAAAACAGAAAAAAAATCAAATATAATTCATAAATCAGCTCTTTAAAAAATCCAAATAGCAATTATTAACTGACACCCAACTAGATTTTCAACAAAGAATATCGAGGCATTTCATCAAACATGTCGAAGGCTATTACTAATTCTACACAAACAACTCCATTTCCTCTTTCCCTGTCCTCTTTTAGCTTATAAACCTCTGAAGCGCTATAATTTATGACCATCACATGCCTATAATAGCACAAACTTGGTCAAAATTTTGAACAAAAAATAACTATAAAACAACTTTCCGCGTACAATTTCAACAAATAGGGGGAAAAACACACACACACACACAAAGATGCACCGCATATCTATGCAACTACAGGAACGCAAAAACCATGAATTTGAAGAAGTAAGTGGGCTTTTGGCTTACCTGGACGCCTTCGGAAGCGGTAGAGATGGGGGAAGAGGTGAAATCGGAGTCAAGGGTAAGAAAAAGGAAAATGGCGAGACCGAAAAACGAGATTGCCATTAGTAAAAGTAAGCCAATGAACCAGGTAGTTTGCCAAAAGGGCAAATTGAGATTGGACTTGGAAGACAATTCTCGATAAACTATTCGAGTCGGGGAAGAAATTTGTTGAACCGAATTTGAAGAAGAAGATGATGATGACCCGGAAGTGGGTTTCCTTCAAGAGAGATTTTGTTGCTGATGCTGCTGTTAGCTGCCTGAGGGAGCCACGGTTGAAGCTTCATGGAAACTGCTGCTTGGCTGCTACCCATTTTTCCCACCAACTACATTGGAATCTGACAACAGAGAAATAGAGAGACAGAGAGAGGGTGGCTGGAAATGGTGGAGCTTGAAAATGAAAATTTTGAGCAATTGTTTTGAGTAAGTGTTTTGGTCGGCAGAATGAAAATTTTGAGTGTTTTAGGGCAAATGAATCTTCCGCCAAAATCAAACGATGCCGTTTAGTGTCTTTCTTTTTTTTGGTGTATCTCATATTTTTTCAAGTGTCATGTTAGATAGTCTAAAGGCACATTATTATTTTTATATCTAATAAAATAAAAAAAAATTAGAGTATATATTATTGAATTGCTAATAAGTGTCATGATATGAGTGCTATAATGACACAAATCAACAAGTGTCCTTACAGATATGCCAGGAAAGACCATTTTTGTTGTAGTGAATGAAGTCTCCAATTGTTCCCACAAAAGTTCTAATTAGAGAGAACAAGACAAGACTCACTACTAAGTTCTAATGATAAAATATGATAATCTGCTCTATAATATCCTCTACTCTTTCTTTTCTAATGATTCTAACATCTCTAATTGTTAAGAGAGTCCAAAAGTGATTTTTGGATAAGACATAAAATTTCTCTTCTCTTCCTTTTGGAGTCTGAAGCACATGCATCCCAAATTCTTTTTTGAAATTTAGCTGAAAAGTAGTGTGCAAATAGAGCAAGAAACTGAGTAAATTGCAGAAATTAGGCTATAATATCCGATTAAGAAATATGCGACTACATGTCGCATTTTCAAGTGTCACGTATTCACTTCTGTGTATTTGGCTTCATTTCAACTGTTATTTTCTCCATGATGAAGGCCGAACTAGATCTTGTGCAAGAAAGTTGTATCCCTTTGAGTTAGATTTTCAATGCTTCAAGAATCATCCAATTTGGAGTTCTGTGAATTGAGAAATGACCAAAATAGCCTCGACTGATCAATCCTCTGTTTCGGCTCTCAACTGTACAAATGAGCTTCTGTATTTTAACTTTTTGACAATGAAAAGGACTGAACTGAATTTCAATGTCTTCATATCAAATATAGATCTATCTCTTAGTTTCAACATGATTAAGAACATGAGCTAACATGGCAAACATCCTCAATCACACAGAGTTCCATGCAAGACAATGTCACGTTGACAACATTTTCAGGTAAAAGAACATGAACAAAAATGTTAGATTGTCATCAACCAAGGATCAAAGGCAGCATAGGCAACTTAAATGAATGTAACTATACACAACCAGAATCGATGTGAAAATGTCAACTATAACAACTTTATTGGTGAAATCTTGACCTATAATTGCATCTGTTATGTACGCAAAACTAAGGCAGCTTAGTTATGAGAAAGACACATAGGGAAAGAAAGAACGTTAGCATGATTAGAAACAAAAGTTATAAACAAACAATCCAGGTAAGCCAAATATTAACATCATCAATATCCCAATCTATCTCTCTCCATCTCAAGCTCTCTCAAATCTCTAACCAAAAGTGTTCATCACTTGCTCGTTCATCCTGAACTTCAAAAGTTCTATTATTAGTTAGGTTCTATTATTAGTTAGGTTATCTCATAATCATTGTTTCATAATCACAAGACAAGAATCTCAAACCAGTAATTGAAGAAAAAATAAATCAGAATACCATTGTTTCATTAATTAGCAAAGGAAAGGTAGCAATTTTTAAGATCAAGTTAGCAAAATAATGCAATTCTTATATAGATGGCACGTGTACAGCTGCAGAGCCACCCTTTAGTATATAATCAGAGTAAAGAAGGATCACAATTTATCTTTTATCTTTCTCTGAATGATCAATATTTACACATCCAAACTATGGTGGTTGGTTCTATGGCTAATGTATAAGCAACATTCTTATAACAAAAACTACAAACAAATGCGAGTCAAATGGCCTGGGATTGGAATAATAACGGAATTCAATGTTTTTTTTTGTCGGAATTCAAGTTAATAGAACACAACAATATAAAAGAATTCATTTAGGAATCCATCTTCCTCATTCCTTGTACTCCAACAATAAATTAACGAATCCGTCTTCCTCATTCCTTGTACTCCAACAATAAATTTATGACTTCCCATTAAAATTATTCAGGATATATAGTTACTAGTTGACATCAAGAAGCCTAATCAACAATAGCGGATGCTTATAGAAATAAAGGCCATGATGCAAACATCTAGACATTTTACATGGGATGATAAATTAACCAAGCAATTAATTAATAGTTAAATTAATGCCACGAGTATACCATTTCACTTTCAGAAGAAAGCAGAAAAATACAAATATTTGAGCACAAGGTATAGTGCGTCACTGATAAGAAAGTACTCTCAAATCGGTGAGGCCAATAATGAAGAATCCATGTACAAGGGATGCCCACAATGCGTAATGCTGAGGAGACTATCTCCGGTGGCCATCTTCGACTGCAGTGATTGGATTTACTGCATTTGGGCCAATTTCAATGTCAACCACGAAAAGAAGCCTTACAATTTCACTCATAACATGCATAAATGAGAGTTGTTCAATGGTGGGAAAATGCAGAGGAGGAAGATGAGTAAGAGGGGAGATGAGGAGTCGGCAATAGGAGTATAGCTGGAGGCAGAGGAGTGAGTTTGGGAGGAGGTAGAGGAGAAAGATGCAGGGAAGTGGGTGGCTTACATTTTTTTTCATTTCATTTTTCTTTGATTATATAGAGGTCCGTTTTACTAATTTAGTACATCTAGGATCCACGTACTAACCAGATTAGGGGGTGAAATTGTGGAATTAGAATTGTAATTCTTAGGTCTTATTAAAGGATTTGAATCTGTAGAATTAAATGCCCATAGAATTCGAATTGAATTCTTCAAATTTTAATTCTCTAGCATTGATAGTGTCCGAATCGCAGATTTGGCATTGGGTTCCAATTCCAATTCTAAGTCTCCAGTTCTTTCACAGCTTGTAATCAATGTAAGTTGTGCCATTTAGTTGGGCTAGTTACCCAGTTTGCTAGTCAACTTAGAAGCAAAAATTCGATCATACCAATATGACTAATTGACTTATAATCAATGTAAGGTGCATCATTTAATTGGACAGTTACCTAGTTTGCTGGTCAACTTACAAGCAGGAATCCAATCATGCCAGTATGACTAGAGGTTAATATTAACAGAATTGGACATGATTCCGAAACCAAACTGAAGTTAAAGTTAATAACTAGCATTGTAAGATTCATCCCACATAGGACGAAAGGAAAGGATGAATAGTTTGGCCTTGAACTCGTGACTCTGCTCAAGAGTCATTAGACCAGTCCAAATCTCACATTAGAGCAAATTTCACATGATCAAGTCGTATGCAACATCAAGTAAAAGTTTGGGGAATGATATTGAAGAAGCATCAAAAGCTATCGAAAGAGCATCAAGTAAATGATCGGGGGAATGATATTAACGATGCTTTTGATGCTGTGGAAAGAGTATTGAGAAGAATCCAGCTTCAGAATTTTTGAGGAATTGAGTTCAATTCATTTCAGACAGTTGATGGATTTTTGAGGCTACAATTTACGCTTTACATGCATAGTTATGCTGTAGTAATTAGTACTTTCGATTTTCAATTCATCGTTGCCTCTTTTTTCTTTTTTCTGGGGGCGGGGTGGGCTGGGGGAGGGGGGCGCTTAGATATTGTATAGGACACTCGGTAGACTTCTTTCTTTTTCTCTTCCGAATAAATATGTTGTAATTTAATTATGCTTCACAGAAGAGTTGCGTAAGGAAATAGAATATGAATCTCTGATTGAGAAAAGTACATGTCAGAAGAGTCTTGGAAAGATTTAGTATTTTTTTTAGGTAATTTCTTTTTTTAATTTGAGATCTTTAAATTTATGATCATATACTCTTATTGATTTTCCTTTTGGAGGATATAAATAAAGTTACATTGGCTTTCTAAGTCTTTTTTTTTTGTCGCAATGATAACATTTTTGTATAACCTACTCTAACCTAATTTAAGACAATATTTTAAAACTCGAACCGCTAATTAAACTGGCGAAGTGTTCGGGTCAAGGTTCAACCGGTCGGACATGTTCAACCCTGGTTCAATGAATTTTTTTAAAAAATAATTTATATAAATATATGTGCACAAAATAAAACATGCAATGTATTAATTTAAAACTTTATATGATGAAAAGTTTACTATTTTTGAATAACTCGGATTTTCAAAAATAAATTTTTTAAATTATAAGTTGAAACAAATAAATTTCATCTCGATTTCAATTATATCTACCAAAAAATAATCTTAAATCCAACCCAAAAATACCACAATATTTTGAAATTATACAAAATTCACGTCTATGAGAATTTAGACATTGTGAGTTTAAATTTTAATTTACGTTTTTGGGATTTAGAGATTGCAATTAAAAAAAGAGAATTTGGAGTTTAAAGGAAGTCAAGAGAATCGAAAATAGAAATGTAAACTTGATAAGAAACAAAAAATGAGATAAAAGTGAGTGATTGTGGCATTTAATAATTAGTCTTTAGGGTTAAAAAAAATATTTTTATAATTTTTTCAATTTAATGGACAAAAACAAAATTAAAAGATAGAAGAAAACATCAATAAATTAAAACTAAAGAGGTTTGATTAAAAAGGGAGTGACAAAAGAAAAGAGGAGAGAAAGAGTTGAAAATTAAAAAGAAAGAGTGATGAGAGGATGAGAGGGTGAGATTTTGTAAGAAAATTTGAGAAAAGAAAGATAAATGTTTGTTTTATATAAATAAATTATCAATAAAGGCTAATATAATGTAATAGTGCAGTGGTTACTACATTAGTTTTCTATCACAAAGGTCTTTGAGTATGAACCTCGGTAGTTGTATTTTACAAAACTTAAAAAAAGAAAAAAGAAAAGAGGGCAAAGTTGAAAATCGGAAACCACCATTCAATCCGATTCACCGATTTGAATGGTTTTGACCGGTTTTTTTGATAAAATCAACCCTAATATAGAACCGGATTGGTGTCATGACCGATTCACAGTTTAACCGGTCTAACCGACAGATCCTATCCGATTTTCAAAACACTGATTTAAGAGAAAGGAGAGCCAATAAAATATTTCCATTGAAGGAAACCACAATTAAGTGACAAGTTGAGACACTAGGTTTAACCATCCTCACCACAACTTAAATTTTTTGGTGGCACCGACAATCCAAGCCTGTTGGCTCGCATTGGCTGTCTAAGTCGTGTTGCCATCAATTTAGAGTGAGTGATGGAAATTAAGGCCATTCTACCAAAGCCAGTTCAGAGGAGGGATTGGAAGGCGCAAAAAGATGGTAGATAATTGATTCCAAACGCACTCACAAGTAATTGACTAGACAGAGGTGGAAACGTGTAAAGGTTTTGGAATCAAGTGACACTGATGACAGTTTGACTGTTCGCCCTTTTGTCTTTCCGATATGTATCCACTTGGAAATTTGTTGTTTTCATACTTTGCCCCAGCCTAAGAAAAAGATGTTAACAGCAAGTGTGTCCAAAAATGAAAGAAAAGAAAAAGAAAAAGAAAAACTTAGTTGTAGTAGGATTTAAAATATAAAATAATCCACATTGTCTTTTTTATTAGTACTATAAAAAATATTTCAATAATTGCTTGAATTGGCCGAGATGGTAACGTTGATGTCATATCTTTCTATTAATCCGAATTCGAACTTCTGCTGAAACATCCGTCCATTGCATAGGGCTTGCTTGTGCGCACTCTCGAGTAGAAAAAAAAAAAAAGATTTAGTGGAGCAAGTGATAACATATAGTTTGGTGCAATCTATTGGAAGAATTAAAAAAAAAAAAGTGTTTCAGACTACTTTCAAATCCTTCCATAAAATGCATCAGAACGAATGTTTAAGCCAATCCTTTTTGCCAAAACAAAAATAAACTGAAAAATTTTTAAGCTTCTTCTATGGATCGAAACCCAGAAAAGGAAAAGAAGTTGAGTTTTACTGGCATATAATTTCAAACAAAATATATTTCATTTGTTTTGTACGTTAAACCTTTACCATTCAAGGGTTCATGACATCCCAATTCTTTTTCTTTGTTTTTGAAGTCCCAATTCTCTCTTTGTGGTATGGTTTTGGGCAGTGGACCAAAATGATCCTTTTGTTCTGCCAAAAACAAATTTAATCCCTTTTACTCGAAAATGATCCAATGTCGCTCCCATATAATTTCATCAAAACTAAATTGAAGATTCACTTAATCACAATGGGCTTTTTAGTATTGTACCCAACTAAATATTTTGCAATTTTCATCATTTATGGTAAAATAAATTCCCTTATAATATTTTTTTATTTAAAGGTGATCATTGAATAGCTTTTTAGAGGTGCTAAAAATTGCCTAATTTCGTGCATTATAATAACATTTAAAATTTTAATGTTGTCGCGGAAATCCATTATTTGCAATAGAAAAAACAATGTGATGTTTAGGCACCATTCTGAAAGAAATTCATGTTTCTAATATTATTGACAATAATTGAATTATAGCTCATCTATTTAGTGGTTTACTTAAGTTTGGATTTTTCATGCACCATGGTTAATATATTAGAATTTTGTCTTACAATTAAAGAAATAAAATGATAGTGGGATGCTTATAATTGCCTCCAAATCCTGCATTAATGTCTCCGCTCTCCTTTATCTATCCTAGCATTAGTTAATATAGTAACATGGTCATAGAATTTCAATGACCATAGTGATTAATTTTCTAAATACTAGGGGCTAAATTTTTTTTTCCGTGAAAGAAAAAAAATCGTTTTAACCCACATCTTAATTACTGAGCACCAAAATTGCAACTCTTCCTTTCTGAATTCAAAGACTAGTACTCTATTTTCCATGTGAAACAATAAGGACCAAAATGTCGTTTTAGGTGGCTCTCATTTCCTTGCACACCCTAATCCCATTACAAGTTTACAACAAATTCAAAGAAGCCTTTGTCGTAGGTGGAGTCAAGGACCCATCTTAAAGTGATAATCCATCTTTTTGAATAAACAATTCAAAAGTGAATTAAAGAATGATTAAGGGTAAAGGGTTGCTGCTTAAGCTTCTCAACCATAGCATGCAGTGATTGGCATTTGAGGCGGGCATAAGGTGTAAACTGACGAGGGAAGTTAACAAATATTCGTAGATCCTATGCAGACTTCATCGTTGTACATATAAACAAATCTTAATTCTGAAATAAAACAAATATGATTTAATGGAAAAACATTGTGAGGATTTACATCATTTTACTTTTTATACTTGAGGCACATGTCGTGACGAGGAATAATAGATTCATTCTATTCCTTTGTGCTTTAGTGTATACACTTTGTATAATTTTTTTGGCCGTTATCTATGCATTGTTAAGGTATACCATATCAATATAACTTACCATTTTGAAAAGAAAAAAATATAAAACAAATATGACAAAGAAATTCAATTTAATTCGTATGATATTTTACTAGTCATCTACGTCTGCGATTTGAGTCATCGATGAATAGGTGAAATCCCCCACTTGATCTTTTATGAAAGAAAAAGAACAAAAGCAAAATAAAAAAAAAGTAAAATAATTATTAAATATTTAATAAGACTTTCTGGCTTGCGTCCAAAAATGTCCATTCTATATTTAATAGTATCCAGCAGTGATTTTCATTCAATTCTGACCACCCAATATTTTTGTATT